TATAACCAGCTAAATGACGTCATCAAAATGATGGTTGCTGATCAATACAGTCTCAGGCCAGGAAACATATTTTGAGCCCAGTGTCTACTTCAATGCCAGGTGTCCATTTTTATTGGAATTACATGAATATCTACACAAATTAATAATGTCTACCTAGAAAGAGGTCTCTAGTGGAATATCATAGAGTTTTCTTTGCTCTATGCTTTCTTCAATTTCCAAACACTTGGGTGAAGCTTTGGAAGTCAGATTTATAATATTTGCAGATGAACACAAACTGAGAGGGACAACATAATTTTGGAAGCCAGGCTTAGGATCCAAAGAGACTGATAAGCATAAATTCTGTTCCCAAGTTAACAAAATGAAATTCAGTGTAGTAAAATCCTTCACTTGAATCTTTGAGGGAATAAGTCCCAGCCCTGCCCTATCACGCATGGTGGAGTGCAAAGAGGAGGATGTGGAGGTAGAGAGTGGTCTCCTTTGAGTCTGCATCTTCATACACTGAAGGGGATCTGGTCAGGTGCAAGAGACCAGATACTCATCCAAGGTGAGGCCTTCAAACTTATGTACTCCCCATGACTTTTTGCAGGCAATCATTGAGATTTGTAAAATGGGAGTTGGTTGGTCCACAGGCCTAGTTATAAAGGCAGAGCAGCATTCTTTAGCATTTGGTGTTATTATAGAAACAGGAATCAGGATAAGAAAAAAGAAAACCTCGAATGAAAGCAAACCTGGAGGCCCCTCCCCATCTCAAATGGGAGGCTCTGGGGTCACTCCTAGCTGTGTGACTCTAGGCAAGTTATCTGAGCTCTCTTAGCCTCAGTAATCTGAAAAATAGATATTAGAATTATTTCACCTCCAGAATTATTGTGAGAACAAATGTTTTTGTACTAAAGCACTTAGAATAGTGCCTGACCACAAGCAGTATGGGCTGTTATTACTATTATTATTAAAACTTAGAAAAATATGGCTTGTTACAATGAGGAGACTAGTTAACAGGATTCTTACACTTCCCATGCTTTAGAAAAACATACAAAACGAAAAAACAGTCATAAAAGTGTAGGATGGAGGGCATGTAGCTTTGCAGCATTGACCAAAAAAAAAAAAGGTAGATTTGGGCTGTTTTTGCATATACTGACCACTTTGTACCAACTGGCATTACAGTTTGAAGATGCAGAGCCTGTAGATTCACTCACTCTAGATTTTAGTTTCACTAGGCTTCATTTTTCTTTCTTTATCTTTTTTTTTTTTTTTTTTTTTTTTTTTTTTTTTTTTTTTTTTTTTTTTTTTTTTCAGAGAGACAGGCTCTTGCTCTATCACCCAGGCTGAAGTGCAGTGGTATGATCATAACTCACTGCAGCCTCCAGCTCCTGGGCTCAATTAATCCTCCTGCCTCAACCTCCTGAGTAGCTGAGACTACAGGCATCTGCCACCATGCCTGGCTAACTTGCTACAAAAATGTTTTGTAGAGATGGGGTCTTGCTGTGTTGCCAGTGCTGGTCTTGGACTGCTGGCCACAAGTGATGCTAAAGCCTCAGCCTCCCAAAGCGCTGGAGTTGCAGGTGTGAGCCCTGCACCCAGGCTTCACTAGGCTACTTATTGTGAAACTGCCTTTAGCATCCGCATGCCATTTCCCGGTGTTGGTCCCTCATTCCTGCTTTCATCTCCTAGTTCAGATTAATTTTTCTAAAATAACAACAGCAGTATTTATGTCTTACTCCAACTCCATGGCAGATGTGTGTAAATTGCAAACATTTAGGAATAGCATTTGCCAACTCCCAAGACTTGGCTCTCCCTCTCGCTCTGGCCTCACTTACCTAGCTGACCTCCTGTAGTACTGAGTTGTGTGCTGGCCAAGTTCCTATTCCCTGGCCTGCTTTCCTTCCCTTGACCTTCCTTGAAATGCTGCTAACCTGACTTTTGACTGATCTATGTGCTGTCTCGTGTGTGAAGCCTAAAGAAAGGTCCTTCTCTAATGGAAACTTTCATTCTAGGAGTTACCTCATTCTTTTTTATGTGGCTCTGTTAGCTCCTTCATTAGGTTTCAAGCTCTTTGAAACAGTGATTGAATTTGCTCACCTTTGCTTTCCTCTTGGGGTCTACATTGGGTCCCCAAGTGATAATAGAGCCTTCTGTAGTACTGAATTGTTTTGAACAGAATTAAAGGACATTGGCACCAAATGTGATTTTGCTAATCCTTGGTAGATTTGGTGCCTCTGTCTGGGCCTGACGAGGATAGAATGGCTGAAGAAACTGTGATCCCCCACCCATTATATTCTTTATTTCTGAACTGCTCTAGAAGTTTTTGCCTCTTTTTGTTTCTATACATTTTCATACTTTTAAGCTACCTTTGCTTTTTCTTCCTGTCTAACCTTTCTTCACATGCTCACATGCAAGCCCAGTCATCCATCTCTCTTTTTCACCTTTCTGCCCTCATATATTTTTCTTAAAATATCTTTTCTCATCTTACCTCCTTTCCTCTATCAGCCTCCTGAGCAGAAAATGGTAGTGCTAATGTTTTAAAAAGTCAGGGAGGACTAGAAATCTGTATGGAATGTAATTCACTTTTATTGCTTTTAAATTAAATGAAAGACTTTGCCCGTGTTTCCATTATACTCAGAAGGATTTCAGACTAAATCCTTAAGCCTGCCATATGGAAATAACTGGGCTAGATGGCTGCTATCTAATCTGAGCATTTAATTCAAACATTTGAAATGGTTTTTGCTTCAAGAAAACGTAGGTTGACACTAAGCTTTATTTTAGCAAAGGTTTGGGAAAGGTTCTAATCTGTAGTATGTACACTTTAATAAATTTCATAGACTAGAGCAACAGATTACAATTTAGTTTGTTCTTCCAACATAAAACTATTCTAATCCTAGTTATAATTTCACTGAAGGCTGGATTTACTCACTGACTTGTTAAAACTGTAGATATCAACCACAACCCTGTTATTTAAACACAATTCAGAAATCATAAATAGAAATTCAAAAGGAGAGCTCAATGCTGCAAGATGAGATTTGATGCCCTGAAGAAACTCTGAAATTTGCCAAAGACCTTGTGGGACTTAAAATAACTTTTTGTTTCCTACCAGCTAGATATGGCAGCTTGAGAACTATTTATTATAAATCAAAATAGATATTTTACCAACTCAGAAAATGTTGCTTTTTGTTTGGATATTAATCTTGTTTGTTCATATTTTTAACTAGGAAAGTTACAACGTAATATGGTCATCCAACAGACCACAAGAAGAGAATTTATCTCTCATTTTCAACATTTTAGCAAATATTTCTTGAACACTAACTGTGTGCAAGGTACTACAGTGAATGTTTCTGCTAATGAAAATATGAATTAAATTTGATGCTTGATCATAAGAAATAGAACTGTGATATAATATTATAAATGCCATAGAAAACTTGCTATTATAAAAAGCTCTGAGGAGTTAATGCTTGCATAGGGTGCAGTGGGTCAGCTAGAGAAGGCTTTATAAAGAAAGTGGAATATGAGCTTTGATGCCTAGCCAGATGTGGGTGTGTGAAGAACAGGGCAGGGCAGTGGGGAGTGGGTGGATTCTGGACAGCTGAAACATTGTTAACAAAATCTCAGAAATGGTACAAAATGGAATATGAATGAGAAAAACAGAACATTGGTTAGGTCTTATTTTTGTGCAAATTAAAGAGAAGAGTTAGAGACAAAGTTAAAGTCAATGCATCTAGAATTTCAGCTTAAACTTTGGTAGTTGGTAGAGAATATTTTATCATTATTCTGCTCTTTAAACAACTTCAGAGATGATTGATCTGCACTAATCTGGATTGTAAAGGAAGAGAAATTGTTTGGAAGACCAGTTAGGGCATTATTATATGGTCTAATAAAAGTTAATAAGATCTGCACAAGGCTGGGAAGAGTAGGATTAGAACAGAGGGGTGGAATTAAAGGACATCATGTAGTGGAAATTTCTAGGATTTAGAACCTGACTGGAGAGGAAGAAGAAAGGGAGGAGTTAAAAATAACTGTAATGAGCCAAATCTGAGAACTGACCCTGCTAAAAAAGTCAGACAAGTCAAGTGGTGCAGCTGGTGTGTGCTAGAAAGTAAGTTCAGCTTTACTAGCAGCACATGAATGTGTGCATGTTCCCTAATGGGCAGTGGAAAGTATGAAACTGAAACTCAGGCTATGACCTGGAATATAGACTTGGGACTCATTAGCATCAAGGAAATAGTGAAGATGTAGGAACAGATATGAATGCAAAGGGAGAATATGGAAGAGAAGATGGCCAAGGACAAGAGTCTAGGGAGAAGTTCTACTTTTAGGTGAGTCTGTTGAAATAGTGAGGTCAGAGTAGAAGTAAAAGAACTAAACATCATAAAAGACTGGGGAAGACAGAGTGTGGAGAAAGGAGGAGCAATAATATCCATGGAAGCAGAGAGGTAAGGAAGATGAAAACTGAGGGGGAAATTACATGTGGCAGCTAAGAATTCATTGACGACTTTCACAAGAGAGGTCTTAGAACTATGACTTGCTGGAATGTATCCTCTTTGTCAGTCTGGAGTGTTTGTTTTTGACTTATTAAGTATGCTAGATTTGTCCAATGATTTAAAGTAGCACAGATAACTCTCTCTGTGTGTGTGTGTGTCTGTCTGTCTGTCTGTGAGAGAGAGAGAGAGAGAGACAGAGAGAGAAGGAGAGAGAAAGAGTAAGCACCAGTCTTGTGGCCAGGGGACTATTTTATATTAATCAGTGATAAAATTATTTAAATATTCTTTGAGCTCACATTTCATCAATAATAGAAATGTTTACTTAGCCAAAAAGGAGATCTCTGGAAATTGACATTAGTCAATAAATAAAATTTGTATCCAAACTATGTTAATTAAAAAGACATTCTGCCCCATTTAATCACATGAAACAGTAACAGCAACAAAAATTCTATGTAAACAGCTGTTTAATTGAATTGATGCTCATACCCCAGGAACATATTTAGATCATCTGTTTCCTTTTTTTTTCTTCAGAATAAAAGGCCAAGCTATGATAGCAACTGGTGGAGTGATAACTGGCCTGGCCGCCTTGAAAAGGCAAGACTCTGCCAGATCACAGCAGCATGTCAACCTCAGCCCGTCTCCTGCTACCCAAGAGAAGAAACCCATCAGGCGCCGGCCCCGGGCAGATGTTGTGGTTGTTCGTGGCAAAATCCGGCTTTATTCCCCATCTGGCTTTTTTCTTATTTTAGGAGTGCTCATCTCCATTATAGGAATTGCCATGGCCGTTCTTGGATATTGGCCCCAAAAAGAACATTTTATTGATGCTGAAACAACACTGTCAACAAATGAAACTCAGGTCATTCGGAATGAGGGCGGTGTGGTGGTTCGCTTCTTTGAGCAGCATTTGCATTCTGATAAGATGAAAATGCTTGGCCCATTCACCATGGGGATTGGCATTTTCATTTTCATTTGTGCTAATGCCATTCTTCATGAAAACCGTGACAAAGAGACCAAAATCATACACATGAGGGATATCTATTCCACAGTCATTGACATTCACACGCTAAGAATCAAGGAGCAAAGGCAAATGAATGGCATGTACACTGGTTTGATGGGAGAAACAGAAGTAAAACAGAATGGGAGCTCCTGTGCCTCGAGATTGGCAGCAAATACGATCGCCTCTTTTTCAGGTTTTCGGAGCAGTTTTCGAATGGACAGCTCCGTGGAGGAGGATGAACTTATGCTAAATGAAAGTAAGAGTTCTGGGCATCTTATGCCCCCTTTGCTCTCTGACAGCTCTGCATCTGTCTTTGGCCTCTATCCACCTTCTTCCAAGACAACTGATGATAAGAACAGCGGTTCTAAGAAATGTGAAACCAAGTCAATTGTGTCATCGTCCATCAGTGCTTTTACATTGCCTGTGATCAAACTTAATAACTGTGTTATTGATGAACCCAGTATAGATAACATCACTGAAGATGCTGACAACCTCAAAAGCAGGTCAAGGAATTTGTCAATGGATTCCCTTGTGGCTCCTTTGGCTGACACCAGTGAATCCTTCCAGCCCGTCAGCACAGTGCTACCAAGGAATCATTCCATTGGGGAGTCTTTGTCGAGTCAATACAAGTCATCTATGGCTCTCGGACCTGGGACTGGACAGCTCTTGTCTCCTGGGGCTGCCAGAAGACAGTTTGGGTCCAATACATCGTTGCATTTGCTCTCATCACACTCAAAGTCCTTAGACTTAGACCGGGGTCCCTCCACTCTGACTGTTCAGGCAGAACAACGGAAACATCCAAGTTGGCCTAGGTTGGATCGGAACAACAGCAAGGGATATATGAAACTAGAGAACAAAGAGGACCCGATGGATAGGTTGCTTGTGCCCCAAGTTGCCATCAAAAAAGACTTTACCAATAAGGAGAAGCTTCTTATGATTTCAAGATCTCACAATAATTTGAGTTTTGAACATGATGAGTTTTTGAGTAACAACCTAAAGCGGGGAACTTCTGAAACAAGGTTTTAATGTTAAAAGAATATATCATTTTACAAGGGTATATATTTTAAAATGATTTTCACTGGTGTTTCCTTCTTAAAGCACTGGCTATAAGCCTTTTTAATCAAATGGTTTGTAGTGTATTAGAATTGGCTGCTTAGTTCTGTAATGAAGATGGTTGTATGTTTGGGTTACTTGTGACTGCAGTACTCTATGTTATCACATATGATTTTATTTTTCTCTTCCTTTGAAAGCATGATCTCTTTTATTAATATGAATGCAAAACAGTTGCATCCAAATTAAAGCTTATTTTCTTTACTTTTAAGTTCTTTGATTGCCCTATTCATAAAATGAAGTGTCCAGTATGGAAAACAGAGGGTACCAAAGCGTGGACCAGGAGTATAAATTCAGTCCCAATACTCAATACATATTATAGAAGACTATGAGTGCAAACCTTAGGATGTGATTTTCTGAATAATTGTTCTTTGTAGGATTTGGTTAAATTATTTGAAATGAAGAAGATCTAGTTTCAGTGTGAGCTCAATAATGTTAATTGGTTAACTTCATTGTGAATCTTGAGTTTTAGATAGGTAGTATTATTTTCAATATCACTTCTGTTTTTAGTGATATTGTATCAAGAAACAACATATTCAAGAGCCATGGCTGACAGTGCCACATATACTTAGGGATAAACATCAAAATGCAATATAGTAGATATAACTTTAGATATTCAGAATCAAAATTTATTTGCAAGCTGACTTGATAAAATAAATGAACCAATATAATTGGTAGAAATGCTATCCTGAAGTAATTATATACATGAAGACAATTTGACTAATGAATGAAGATACATTATATACTAGTTAATGCTAACTAGTCTCAGTACTTTTTTTTAGCCATCTGTTACCTTCCAATAGCCCCTCATTCCCACATTCTATTTTCCCCCAATATGCTTTAGATCCTGGTATTTGGAAAACAATCAGCTAACCTTGACATTTCTTTTTACCTTCACATGCCACTAGCTTGGTAGTTCAAAAAAAATTTAGTTCTTGATAAATTGCCTTGAAGTTTACCTTGTGCTGGAAAGCCTTATGATAACTCCAAAGACTTTCTCATGGTATAATACATGTTGTTTAGGATTGTGTTTCTTAGTTACTGAAGATAATAAATATTAAAATGGATGTTTTCCTCAGAAAATTTTCATGTTTTCCTTTAAGGTAACATACTTGTAAGAATTGTTTAATAAAATACTCAGGAAATTCTAAAGGTTTCTCCCAATACCTAAACATTTCTGAACATCAGTATTGCAGTTGTGGAAGAGCAGAAGGAGGATACATTTGTTTGTGTTGCTCCCCAAAATTCCACCTTGCATTTGCATCACAAACGTCCCTCAATTGAGGCAGTTTTATTTGTTAGAACATTAAGCCTGTGTATTATAATAGAGTGGGCTCAATATTTTACTATAAAGCATTTAATAAACTTCTGTTATTAATAGAAGTTTGTGTTCTTCACACCTTTGCTATTGCTTTTTAAATAAAATGTACATTTCTGCTTAAAGTACTATTTTTCACACTACTGAGGACACTTGATACCCTAGTACATGTACTGAGTATCTCGGCTTTTAAATTTTGCTTCTATTCGGTTAAAGAGCTAGGTCTATCCACGTATATAATTAGACTGTTTTTAAGTTTTGTTATCTTGGGATTGTTTTCACTTAAAGTTTCATTGACTCTCAGGAAAAAAACCAAATACAGCATCTAGCAAATGTCAGCGGCACTCAGATTTGAAAACAGTGGCTCTCAACACCCCTGATGTGACAGATGACTGAAGCCATATAATTTGTTCAGTTCATCCCTGAAAGAGCTCTAGAAATTTGAAGAGGATTAAACAGCATGGGTCTTAGTTGATCCAAATAAAGGAATTGGGGGCTTAAAGTAGTGGTTCCTGCTCAATCTTCTCTTCATCAAAAAGCCTGAGTTTTTTACTTATCAAGCAAATCAACTTTGATAAATTATAAATATTTTTCTCATTTTCAGTTAATCAGAGACATAGATTACTAATTAAGGTTTCAGATTCATATGAGATAGCTGGTGTCACCACATTGATACAATTCTACCTAAAAACAATGAAACCTGGAATTCTAGTTAGACCATATTTTGTGTATTTCCTTTAGGCTTTTAAGAATATTGAAAATTATTTTTAAAATACACCTGCATATTAGATTAGAACTGTACTCTAGATGCTTTGTTTAATCTTAATCACCTTAATTGCCTCTTTAAATCTCCAAATATGGTTATTCTGAGGGGCAGGGGTTTGGGACTTCAGCATATGAATTTCAGGGGGACACAATTCAGCCTGTAACATGGGGTGTGGAGCGGTGAGTAAGGGTTCTTAGTCTAAAGTAGGTGAGAATGTGCAATATGCCCTTAATGACATTGCCACCCTGGCTATGTAGCCTTGAGTCAATCACTTAACCCCTCAATTTCAATTACTTTCTTAATGTCAAGGCTTTGAATTCCTCACCTGTGAAGTGAGATGAGTAAGAAAAGAAACTATCAAGTTCTTTCTAACTCTAAAGGTCCAGGGTTCTTGATGCCCTCCGATGAAGATCCACTACCTGTCCCTGTCTCTTTGTAGCAGATTACTTCTCAAAGGATGAGGGTAGGACTTGCAGAAGAGCAGAGCGGTGGGAGGCATGGATGTTGGAACCAGAAGACCCGGCATCTATCAGTTTATGAAGCTTTCAGGCTTAAATACATGTTTCTATCTGTATAATCTTCAAAGAAACAATGGCAATATAAGTAAAAAGAAAAACGTTATTTAGCACCCGTTTGTATCAAGAGCTACTATAGTAGCTCTTACTACTCTTTAGACAATTTACTAAAGACAAATTTTGAGTTACTTGTTTAGCAGTTCAAATTTAGCATTTATTTATTCATTCATTCATTTTTGAGACAGATTTTTGCTCTTGTCTCCCAGGCTGGAGTACAATGGTGCAATCTGAGCTCACTGCAACCTCCTCTTCCCAGGTTCAAACAATTCTCCTGCCTCAGCCTCCCACGTAGCTGGGATTACAGGAGCCCACCACCATGCCAAGCTAATTTTTTGTATTTTTAGTAGAGATGTGCTTTCACCGTGTTGACCAGGCTGGTCTCGAACTCCTGAGCTCAGGTGATCCACCTGCCTTGGCCTCCCAAAGTGCTGGGATTACAGGCAGGCATGAGTCACTGCGCCCGGCCCCACATTTAGCTCTTAAATTCACCACAGATAACTAAAAGAAGTAAAATATAGCATAAAAAAGAAAAAGACCCATCAGTTTATCAATAATTTTCCTATAACATTTTAAATATTACAGTGGTGGCCTACCACTGACATAGATCCACCTACTGTGGTGTTCAGGTTGTTCAGAGATCTTAATCACTTATTCTCTAAGTAGGAACTGTGAAAGTGGTACTTTGGTTATCCTGTCTCTTACTTTCAGCAAATTACTCTGTCACCCTTCCCTGACCCTATATGTAATCCCGTTTTAGACCTTATATCAAGGTTTTAATGTGTATAACCTTGATGTTGGATTATTGAAGGACTTTGTCTTTAATGTCCCATTTGATGATTAAAGTCCTTTGTGAGGTGTTTTCACATGGAAGTAATTCATTGATTTCTCTGTATATACTGTTTTTCCCAGGATGATGGCATAAGAGAAAAAAGGCCCACTTCATTGAAGTGCCTTTTACTTAATAGTGGATGCTGTCTTAAGATAACAGGTTAGTTTTCTATGGCTGGTATAATAAAATATCACAAACTGGGTGGTTTAAGCAATAAAATTTCTCGTAGTTCTGGAGACTGCAAGTCTAGGCATAAGGTGCTGGTTGGTTTGATTTCTCTTGAGGCTCCTCTCCTTGGCTCACCAATGTGTTCTCACATGGTTTTGTGCATCTCTGGTGTCTGTGTATCCAAATTTCCTGTTCGTATTAGGATACCAGTAAGATTGCATTAGGGCCCATCATGACAGCCTTATTTTAACTTAATATCCTCATTAAAGGCCCTATCTCCGAATACAGTCACATTCTTAAGTACTGGGGGTTAGTTCAACATAGCAATTGGAGATGGGGGAACACTTCAGTTCATAACAGATAATAATTTTAAAATAACACCTGCCCAAGAACAGGGCTCATTAAAGTGACTAAATGAAGTAAATCCATCCTCATATATCAGCAGATCAATTCCTCTTCTTGAGGTACATTTTACATAAACTAATTTATGTTTATATTTCCTCTCTTACTGTCAGTGTATGATAAGACAAAGGAAGTAACAAAGAGGATATAAGAAACCTCAGACAGGCACAGTGGCTCACACCTGTAATCCCAGCACTTTGGGACCCAAGGCGGGAGGATCACTTGAGGACAGGAGTTCAAGACCAGCCTGGCCAACATAGTGAAACCCTGTCTACACTAAAAATACAAAAACTAGCCGGACATGCTTGCTTGAACTCAGGGGGTGGAGGTTGCAGTGAGCCAAGATCATGTCGCTACACTCCAGCCTGGGTGACAGAGTGAGACTCTGTCTCAAAAAAAAAAA